GAAAGCGAGCGAGGAGTGCTTCTGTGATGCACGTCTCAGAAACCGCGCAGCAGGCACAGGTTTGTAATTCATATGCAAAATACAGTCTGTTTGATAAAATGTGCTCTGAGAGAGATAGATACTGGTTCCCATTTGTTACTTATTTTGTTGTCATTACTCTAGGCTGAGCCAGCTCCCGGAGCATCCCATCAGCAGCAGGCAATTGGAGACATCTTTATGTCGAAAAGTGGTGACATTACATGGTCTTCTTGCCCATCAAAGGAGCCACCCCACCTTTCTTCCAATGTGCTAACAATGCAACCAGGGCCGACTAGAATGTCAGTCACCCATGTCCAAGACATCAGGTCTGCATTTGATCTCCTAATGCCAGATTCCATCCTCCAAATAATCCTAGACTGCACAAATTTAGAAGGTAGGCGTGTTTATGGAGAGAAATGGAAGGTTATGGACAATATCCTTTTATATGCCTACCTTGGTCTGCTTTACCTTGCTGGAGTCTTCAAATCTAAAGGAGAATCACTGCATTCCCTGTGGGCTGTTGAAACCGGGCGAGAAATATTCCGGGCAACAATGTCCTTGGAGACATTCCAAGTAATTTCAAGGGTTATATGTTTTGATAACCGAGATGACAGACCAGCTCGACGGCAGAAAGACAAACTTGCAGCCATCAGGACGGTGTGGGACAAGTGGGTGCACCGCCTCCCCCTGTTCTACAACCCTGGGCCTAATGTCACCATCGATGAACAGCTGATGCCATTTAGGGGCCACTGCCCCTTCAGGCAGTATATGCCCTCGAAACCTGCTAAGTATGGTATCAAGATCTGGGCTGCCTGCGATGCCGTTACCTCATACGCTTGGAACTTACAAGTATACACAGGGAAACTTGAGGGAGGAGTCTCAGAGCGTAATCAAGGGATGAGAGTTGTCCTGGACCTGTCTCAGAATCTCAAGGGACACAACATTACTTGCGACAACTTCTTCACGTCGTACAAGCTGGGACAGGAGCTCCTGAAGAGGAAGCTGACCATGGGGGGAACGATCCGCAAGAACAAGCCAGAGCTCCCACCGCAACTGTTGGAAACAAAGGGCAGGCCTCTAAATTCATCCAGGTTCTTATACACGGCTGACACATCCCTGGTGTCCTATGTGCCAAAGAAGGACAAGAATGTTGTATTGATGAGCACACTGCACAGGGAAGGCAAAATCTGTGGCCAAAAACCTGAGATCATAATGTACTACAATGCCACAAAAGGTGGGGTGGACAACTTGGACAAGATGGTGACTGCCTACAGCTGTAAAAGAAGGACACTACGCTGGCCACTGGTGCTGTTCTTCGATATGCTGGACATCTCGGCATACAATGCTTTTGTCGTGTGGACGGCAGTCAACCAAAGGCCCTGGTGTCACCCTACATCCAGACCAGGCAGCATGTTCCAAGAATACCAGCCTCTGCAGCCATCGTGAAGAGGATTCAGGGGGAGGATGCTGCTGGCCCATCCACCAGACTTACAGGTCCACAACCACCACAGCCTGAGGTAAGTGTGTAATGCTGTGGCATAATACTGTATGTGTGACACTCATGCTTTGGGAGAGAGAGAGAGAGA